GGGCCTTTGTGCAGGATGGTATATTACGCTGTTTCTTTCTGCTTTGGATAGTTCTCTCTTTTTTCACCATACCTGTGTTTGCATCACTGTATATTACAGTCACGGCTCATGTTATGACCAGCGAATGGGAAATTAAAAGTTTTGTTTTGCAGACGCGGCCTCTTTTCACATCACACACTGGACTAAACATTGCTGAGGTGTTGAAATCTGCTGTTTTGGAGTGGGGACTCGACAATAATCAAGGCATTGCTGTCGTAACAGACAACGCAAGGAATATGGATGTAGCGGTGAGAGAGGCCGGTCTTTCCCCACACATAAAGTGTTTTGCCCACACTTTAAACCTCGCTTCAAAAGCGGGTTTTAACGTAAACCGGGCAAGCCGTCTGCTTGGTAGAGTGAGGCGTGTAGCTGCGTTTTTTCACCGCAGTTCAACTGCCACAGCTGTGCTGGCCACCAAACAGGGAATGTTAAACCTGCCTGCGCATAAACTCATCATGGATGTGGTCACAAGATGGAACAGCTCGCTTGACATGCTCGAGCGCTACCTGGAGCAACAACAAGCTATCGCTGCAACGCTACTCAGTGCTGAAGTCAGGCGCAACGCACGCGAGATAGACACTCTGGAACCAGCTGACATCACGGACGCCGAGGACATGGTTCGGCTTCTCTCACCGCTGAAAAAAGCAACCACCGTGCTGTGCGATGAGTCTCGACCTACAGTCTCTCTCATTGTGCCCCTCAAGCACATGATAGAGCAAAGCATGGCACAGTGCGATGAGGACTCCTCCACCATCGCCCAAATGAAGAGAGCCATACTGAAGGACTTTACAGACAGATACCAAGGGGAGCAAAACAAGTTTCTGCAAGTGAGCACTGCATTGGACCCCCGGTTCCGGAGCTTGCACCAGCTAAATGACAGTCAGAGGGAGGACGTTTTCGACAGGCTGAAGTTGAAAGCCACACAGATGCAGAACCAGGTACATATTTAAATATTCTTTTTGTGTCTGTGTAACTTTTTCAGATAACGTAAGGTGTGTTTGCCTCTGTTGTTTTTGTGAAAAGAAAGATAAGACGTTTTTTTTCTACCTCTGCTTGCTTGCATAGAACCCTAGTGAAACAGAAGGGGAAAGAGCACATGACGCTGAGGAACAATCTCCTCCTTCCAAAAAGACAGCACTCGAAGATCTCCTTGGGGAGTCTTTCATTAAAGAAGTGCACGTCGCACAGCACAACACTGGTATCGAGGCTGAAATTGACTTGTACCGCAAAGCGACCTCTATTTTACTCTCTGACTGTCCTCTCAAGTGGTGGAGAGACAATGCAAAGTGTTACCCACTGCTGTCCCCCATGGCCGAAGCATATCTCTCTGTCCCAGCCACATCAGTGCCGAGTGAGAGTTTTTTCCACAGCAGGGGATATTGTAAACGCCCAAAGATCCCAGCTTCTACCTGGAAATGTTGACATGCTCATCTTCCTGAAAAAAAACCTGTCTGATGAGTGAGAGAGAGTTTGAGTTGAGTTACTTGAAATCTATTTTATTGCAGGGTCTGATTATTGAATTTTCTTGTTTATTTGCACAAAGAAAATGCATACTTTTGTTTGGTAGTACTTGTTCTTGTTCCAGTCTGTTACTGTTTTGACACTTTAAATGTACTACTATACTAAAATGCTGTACAAATCAGATTTATTATTTAATAAAGAAAACATTTTGGAGTAAAAAAAAAAATTTGTATTTTCTTTTTACATTTTTTTTTCCTTCAATATATAGCGATAAATATCGTACCGTGGACTTGTTATCGCGGTATTACCGTACCGTGAGTTTTTGGTGTCGTTACATCCCTAGTACATATGTGACCTGCTCTATCGAAATCAGTCGCATTGACCGGAAGACACATTTTGAGTTGTATACACTGCTGGAAAGAGGATATTTTACTCCATTCTCCGCTTGTAATTATGCCGAAGCTTCAAAGTTGTATTTATCATCTGAATTTGGACTTTAATATTCTGAAACTTATGTTTTTGTACTCCAAATATTAAGAGAAATATGTCACATTATATAATGACTGTCACCGAGTCATCATTTTGAGAAAAAGGCTTTCAAAGTTTAATAATGTCAGCGGGAAGGGAGGGGGGAGCATCGCTAAACGTAAAAGCATTAGTGGCGAGGGAGAGCCTGTCATCTTCCCTTTACAAGCTTCAAACATGTATTTATCGGGAGATTTTGGCAATAAAAGTTTCATATTCTGAAAAAAATTCCCTGGAAACCTCCAAAACTGTTACACAGAAAGAGGATCTCTGCACACGCTTTTTTTTATATCAGCTTTGTGTTTCAATGGTTTTGTCCTAACCTTGGAGAGCCGTATATTTACTGCCACCCTAAAAGGACCTCAAAAATGTTAAAAATGTTAATAAAGAATTTATTGAAAAGTTAGTTGGCTGATTGTTTTATATTGGCTCAGCCAGGTTATATGGGATGCCCAGTCTACTATATATGATATGGGTCACTCATTTTACAATATTAAACTTTGTTTTCTTATCTTTAATTTTTCATCCTTATGTAGAATGCTATTACGATACACACATTTGGTTGTTTATAGCATAAAGAACATCTGATTTAATGTGAGGTAGGGAAATAATCATTTGATTATAAGTATGTGCATATAAATATGTAATTTACAACAGCTGTACGCTGCTTGAAAAGCTTGAAAATGCACCTTGAAAATGCTTGAAAAGTGCTTGAATTTGACTTTGGAAAAGGTGTAAGAACCCTGTATATATGTCGAGATCAATTGTATTAGATCAATTCATCCATTTTAATCTCAAAGTAAAACATTGGGAGTCAAGGGCCTGTGAGTTCCTCTGACGGGAACCTCAGCTGAAAGCTGAACAATTGCTGTGCAGAATCCATCAGGGTGTACCATTTAAATAACTGGATTTTGTATCATGTACATTTTTCATATTTTAATGAAAAAACAACCCAATGGTCTGTGCCTACAAACTCATCTAAATATCAATTTACAGCTTTAGATTGGTACTAAACGGTTGGAATAATATTGGTTGGTAAGATTGATAGTAAATAAATCAAATTGAATATCCATGGCATATAAGTAACAAAGAAAATATATACAGTTGAATTTATAATATTCCACTAAGTTTCTGTTGTATTAACAAGGTCAATGCAGAACAATGTCAGTTTACTCCTAAAGAGGGCATCAATGTTAAACCGAACACAGCTGCTGTCCACCAGGGGTCGCTTGTGTTCCCCAGCAGCAACGTCAAGAAACAAACATGGCGACGTCCAGTGTCTTCAGACCGGGCTTGTTCAACCACAAAGTTGCAATAGTAACGGGCGGCGGGACCGGGATCGGTAAAGCTATCTCTGAAGAGCTGCTGGAACTCGGTGAGTGATGTGGGGTGCTTGGGGAACAGATTTTTACTTTCATAGAGCTGAGATTCAGAAGTGAACAGCGACTGACTGACAACAAGAGCCAAGTGAACTTCGACACAGATACAAGAAGCCATGTAGGCTACTGAATTCTTCAAAATGTGACTCAGTTTAAACCATAGACTGTATATATAAAGGTTTAAACACTGTGCAGGCAAACTGGTTACAGCTATCAAATGAAATTCTGAATGAAACAGGGACAATATACCCACATCTAATTCCAATGTGATGGGGTATAAAGGCAGTAAAAAATACGAGTTTATAAATAAATGCCACTCACTTACTGGAGTTACATTCAGTAAAATGGTGGTGGGTGTGTGGGTTAAAGTTTAGCTCCAAATAATCCATTAATGATTTCCAAGTTCTCTCAAAGTTAACGCCATGAAGAACTCAGAAACTCAAGGGATGTGTTTTGTTCATTTGAAAATACATTCTAAATCAAATATATTGCATGTGAACAGACTAGCAATAAACTTTTTTACCAAAACCCTAAAATACAATGTAATAATGAAGACACACAATGACATTTTGATTTGTATATACGTCAGTAATGTGACTAATTGGATAAAGGCAAATAGAACAGTTTGAACAGGATTTCTGAAAATGACATGACTTTAATGCAGTCTCTAGGAAATACACTAATGCCATTTATAGATATCAAAGATCTAATACGATATTTTATCTCATATAATGTTATTGATATATAACCCAGCCCTCAGTCAGTACTGTAATCCTAGTTTTTGAAGCTGACTGTTGTCTTCAGGTTGCAATGTGGTCATCTCCAGTAGAAAGGTGGAGAGGTTGGAAGCAGCAGCTGAGGAGATGAGACAGAAGATCCCCGCCTCCAGCCCGGCGCGTGTCACTCCTCTGCAGTGTAACATCCGAAACGAAGATGAGGTGAGGGCCTGCACTCACCCTCAGGCTCACATTACTTCATGTTGTTGCTTTCAACAGCTGATTTTCTGTTTTCTTTTATGCCCAGGTGAAGGATCTTGTGTCGTCAGTGCTGAAGCGGTATGGTAGGATAGACTTCCTGGTGAACAATGGAGGAGGTCAGTTCAGCAGCCCGGCAGAACACATTTCGTCTAAAGGCTGGAAAGCTGTGATAGACACCAACCTGACGGGAACCTTCCACTGCTGCCAGCAGGGTAAAGATGCTAACACAGCCTCAGTGTGTGTTTGATAAGCTAACACAGCCTCAGTGTGTGTTGGGTAAAGAGCTCAGTGTGACTTTTATGGTTCTGTCCACACAGTGTACGCCGCATGGATGAAACAGCATGGAGGGGTTATCGTCAACATCATAGCTGACATGTGGAAAGGCTTTCCGGGGATGGCGTAAGCAGCAGCACCGAACACCAAATTAATTCACACAATCATTTCCATTTAGTTAAAACAAAAAATTAATCAATGTTAATGAGTGCAATTCCAAATTGCAGTCAGCGCAATATTTGGTAAATACAAAATATGTGAAAATTCTGAATGAAGCATTGTGGCTGCAGAGAAGTCCAGGCATTAAAACGCTATAATAAAATCCTCGTTTGATAAAGGTCCTCTTAAAATATCACACTATGTTCATTTTAATATATTTTACATTGATTCAGAAGATTAAAAGGCTCTACCGAAAGGTGATATGAAAATCTTCAGTTTCTGGCTCCTTCTACAGTGCAAAAAACAGAGTAATTAAGACATTCAAATAAATAAAAATAGTGCAAGAAGAAATAAAAATGAAATATTTAGAGGGAAGAAGTAAACTATATGCATGTAAAATAGATTAAGACAGAATAAAAACCAATGTAAAATGAAATACTGTACAGTGGAATACAATACTGCATATTGTAACGATATATAAGTTAACTGTAAACAGATGCATGAGAACTTTTCCTAAGTGATCATTTGAATGTTGTTTCAACATTGCTAATTTCCTCATATATCTGAAATAAATCACAGTGCAAAGTTAGTCAAACTAATTAGTTATTTCTTCTGTATTGTGAGTTCCTAATCCCAAGTCTTAAATTAAATTAAATTCATGATACCCTCAATTAGGTATTTTCCTTGCGTCTTAATCCCTCATCACAGGAAAACCATGCGTGGAGAGGGAAAAGAGAATGTTTAATAAGAAAAAATTAGGAGGATTTTGGTTCGTTTTATTGTTCAGATCTGCAATAAACACAGATTTTGAACTATATGGTAAAATCAGAATAAAAAAAAACGTTACATGGGATTGATGCATTTGACTGTAATATATCATATCAGTCAGATCAGGAAGGCTGCTCTCGTGTATCCTTAGCATCGATACTCAGAGATCTCTGCTTGCTCCCCAATCCTTGATTTCTTACCAGAACCACTCTGGTTCAACCAATAATCAAGGAGCAAGACTTTGTATGATGTACTTACTGAATCTCCTCTCACTTACAGCCACACAGGGGCTGCGAGGGCAGCAGTGGACAACCTGACAAAGAGTCTGGCCATCGAGTGGGCAGCTTCAGGAGTCAGGGTCAACTCTGTCGCACCTGTAAGTACAGATCACGAGTAAACACAGGATAAGTGATGAAGGGGTTTAATTTGTAATTAAAAAGCTGTGCTTTTCTCTGTTTGCAGGGCACAATCTTTTCCAAAACTGCAATGGAAAACTACAAGGATCTTGGACCAAGTCTCTTTAAGATGTCTGTTCCATTTAGCCCCGCAAAAAGGCTAGGGGTACCAGAAGAGGTATAACCATCATTCTGCCTTCCAGCTTTAAAATAAACATTAATTTACATGTCATTTGTTAGACGCTTTTATCCAAAGCGACTTACATACATTCAGTACTGTGGACAATCCCCACAGTAGCAATTTGGGGTGAAGTGTCTTGCCCAGGGACACAACGACATGCTGACTGCAGTGGGACTCGAATTTGCTACCCCCTGATTCCAAGTCCAGCACAATACCCACTGAGCCACAAACTAAACTATCAGAAATCCTTTATTTGTTCCAAAGTGGGCAAAATTTAAAGTGTTACAACAGCAAAGGGGCAGTGTATATTGAAAGCAAAAATAATAAAAGTAGGCTAACAGATTAAAGAAAAGTCTTGGCTATATCTAATGTTTTTTTGTACTTGTTTCTTTGTTCAGATCTCATCAGCAGTCTGCTTCCTGCTCTCTCCTGGGGCCTCCTACATCTCTGGAGACACTCTGAGGGTTGATGCAGGACAGAGTCTGTACCACTCCATGTGGGAGATACCGAGTAAGTATAAACACTACGGTTTATACTTTATACCTCACAGGTCATAGCACACTATTTTATATTCTAAATTATTGTCTTTTTATGTTTCTTTCTCCAGACCACAGTGCATGGCCTGAAGCTCCAGAGGGGGAGAACCAGGAGGCTCTGAAGGAACTACTCAACCCCAAAAGCAAGCTCTAATTGTCTGAGCCCAATGTATAAACATACCACCATGGACAGAGAGCTGACTGGTACCACAAGCAATGGGAAGAAACAAGACACCATAGTGGCCCGGGACTAAGATAGTGTGATTTATTATAACAAATTCTGTACATAATTGTATTTAATAATAGATATACAAGTGTCTGATTGTTTTTTGGTAATGAGTTGTGACAGAGCACTATATAAAAAATGTTCAGTGCCTTTGTAAGTTGGTAATTAACGGTGCTATTTGACAAAATTGCATTATTTGCAAATGGAGACAAAAGACAGAAGCAACGATGGAAAATTACAATAATGTTTTAAATATATGTACTGAGGCTGTTCATCTTTGATATAGTTATGAAATACAGACTTTATATGTAAATGTAACATGTTTCCTTTATTTGTCCAATATTTAAGGGAAAACTGAAAATTAAACCTAGTACTGTAAAATAAATAAAAAATTTGAATCATATAAAGTGTTTATTTGGATAAAAAAAATTGCCCTTGATAGTTGAATTGGATAGAAAGTAAAAATAATATTGTATATTAGAAATAAAGTATTTGCTTTTCCAATGACAAAATAGCTTGTCTTACAATGTATTATATATTACAACAATAAATAAAGGTACAGCTCTAATTGTAAAGGTGCAAGAAGCTTTGTTTTTTGGCCCAGCGTGCTTTGCTGTAATATTGGCATTAAACCACTTTAGATTAGTAACAATTAATCCAGGAGCTGTTCATTAGACATTACGTTTTAGTCAAGTGTATATTTTATAAACATTTTCTGAGGGATTCCTTTTTTCTTAGATATAGATATTTTTGGTTCACTCCAACACAGTAGGTGGCGGTAATGTACTGTATCCCTGGTGTCTCCCTGCGATAAAACGCTGAAGAAGAAGAACACAGTCCTGCTACAGAGGTCACAACAAACCACTCAGGTACAGTGTTATGCTTTTTAATTAATATGTTACATTTCTGAAGCATCTTTTGTTGCTCTTTCACTGTGGCTGACAACGGTATCTTAACATAAATTAAGCTGTAGATAATGCCTCAGAGCAAATGCTGCAATTGTATGGATGTAGCTAGACAAGTTAGCTGACGTTAGCACGTTAGCTAACGAAATGCTAGCTGAGGAAACGCTGTGTACTTTCATTAAACAACGATTTTTTTCCTATTCATTATGTACACATCTTTGCTTTAGTAAGACACTTAACTTGTATGACACTGTTTATAAAGAAAGCTAGTCATGAATAAAGTAGGGCATGTTTCAAATGTTCAATAAAGCTTAACATCATTGAGCTTTGACAGGTTCAGTTTTTGCAGGTGCTGCGAAAAGATTGTTAATTGATTATTTACGAACAGTAAACATTCAACAACATTTAAATCACTGCCAGAAATTGCTTCACAGCTAGTTTACATCCATTATTGCAAAGATTAAAACATCAACATTACATAATGATAATGACTGCCTAAACCGAGTGTTATAAAGTTTGATTTATGTGCCAACTTGCGTCCTGAGAATCTTACAAAAGCTTAAACAGGTATTGAGCCAGTGTAATGTAGACAGGTATAAGACAACAGCCAATCACATCAACCTCCATATTGAATGGCACGAAATAGTGTATAACCTGAGACCAGTTATATGCTTATACAAAGAGCATAACATACATCCTTCGTCATTACAAACAAACATTTTAATGCCATTTAAACATGGTTGAAACCTGGTCCCACATGTACATTTCTAGACGTAAACAGACATGGAAACCAAAGAGTTAGCAGTTTTCACTTCTACATAAGCGGAAACATGTTTGAGCCTGTTTTTGTCCTTTACAGGCTTGTTTCTGACAACACATTTCTAAAATAAAAGCAAATAATAATATGAGAGGTTCAAGTTATCTATGGGTGATTACATATTAACATGTATCTGTTTTCAGAATGGGAGGTGACCACGGGCACAACAAGCTGGTCCTGCCAGACTGGCGGCAGTGGAAGGTAGAGGGGACCCCACTGGAGATCGTACAGAGGAGGCTGGCTTCCAGGGGCCTCAAGGATCCATGGGCACGGTCAGTGTTTCTACCAAAAGTAAATATAGCTGTCTCCCATTTAATGAATCTGATTACTGACTATCCTTTCTTTAACTGTCCCTGTAGCAACGAGGCTTGGAGATACACTGGGGGCTTCGCTCGTACTGTCACTCTGCCTGAAGTGCTTCTGAAAGGATTCAAGTGGGGCTTTGCCGCCTTCGCTGTTGCTCTGGCTGTAGAGTACACCTTCTTCCCACCAAAGAAGGGCGGACACTAACGCTCGACCCCAGAGTCTAATAATCTGTATTTTCTGTTCATTAAAGGTTTTCTGATCACTCCATGGCTTCCCTTATTCTTCCTATTCACCCTGTCCCATCTTTAAACCAAAACCAATTTAACATACAGTAAATTTGTATTTGAACATGCACATATGGAACGACTAGTCCTGCTTTCTCTTCCTGCTCAGCTTCCAAAAGGTTAGTTTAAAACATTTTACTGTCAGGATTACAAAAAACAGCACTACAGTAGCCAGTAGTGCTATGACATCCAGGCAGTAGTACTGGATCCAGTTGAGGCCATGGACGGCAGCTTTAAGATGTTTTGCCCCTTTGTTCCGCATCACATATTCTGTCCAGTACACAGAGAGGTCGAGTGGGTCGACCAGCCGGTCTTTATGGAGATCAGACAGCTTCTGCACGTTCTCTTTATACCTGGATAAAAACAGATTAATGGCAAGAGTTGAAGAACACAACATGGAGGCAAAGTTATCAAAGCACATTCCAAACCAATTTTTTTAAAGCGACCCTATTAGGCTCAGTTTCATGTCTCATATCTATTGTGACAAGTTTACATGCTTTATTGTTTAAAAGGTGTTGTATTGGCGCCAGCCAATAGAAGCACGAGTGAGACGGAATGATTTCACTGTTAGGGAAGTAAACAATGGACTACAATTGAGGCAGGGGGGGGGAGTGTTTGGAAGAGAAACTCCCTCTGGAGGTAACTTTACATGCACACAAACATATTAGCACACTACAGGAAAAGGAAAACCCAGAAAAATATACTAGGGCCTCTTTAAGGAGCTTAAGCGTCCCCTCACCTGGTGTTGTTGATGACCTCATTCAGTCCTTGCAGAAGGATCTCTGTAGTTATGTCAAAAATATCCAGCACGAGTCCGGCTCCTCTGCTCGCCAACCTCTGCGCATTGTCAGGCTGGTCCCCCCCAAGTGGCACCATCACCATGGGAACAGCGTGACACAGTCCCTCGAACAGACCATGTGAGCCGGCGTGTGTGATGAACGCCCGCACTCCAGGATGCGCTAACACACAGATTTTGGATCTTCTAAGTTATGTTATACATCATTGGGAAGTTTTCAGTCGCGGGCTTCACATTTCCGGATGTGTTGCAGTGGATTTACCCACCTAGCAGGTCATTCTGAGGAGCCCACTTCATAAACTTCACGTTTTCTGGAACATTATCGGGAACCGGCCCAGTGTATCTCCATACGACCTATCAAAAATAATGCATTACTCTTTGAAGATAGTTTGGTTTGAATTGCATTTACGTATATGTTTACATATATGCTCCTGTACCTTCTGTGGAATCTGTCTGAAGGCTTCCAGGAAGACAGAGGTTCTCTCTTCAGGCAGATCTGACACTATGGTGCCCAGAGTGAACACTACAAACCCATGTTCTCCGTCTAATAACCAGGACTCCAAATCCTGCAACACATAGATGCCAGGGTCAGTGAGAGTTTTTTTCTTTATTATATTCTTTTCAGAATGTTTATTTGAGTTCAAATCAATTTGAAATGCAATTTTTCAAGAAGGTGTCTCAATAGAATATGAAACAATTAAAAATCTACAGTTAATTATTGGATCAGACACACAGGCCTTACCTCAGGCAGAGGATTCCTCACATGGCAGTTAATTCCGCCAACAAGCACCATATTAGGCATGAGTGGCCGTGGGAACTCCAGCGTGAAATCAAGCCTGTTTAAACACAGTATTTACATATTTATGTAAATAATAAATCTAAAATGTTTTATAGTTTAGTTTGATTCAGTAGCACGGGACAACAGAAACACTAAAACAATCATTTAACAAAGTACTTAGATCCTTTCCTTAAGTAAAGGTAGAAATACTATGGTCTTAAAATCCCCCATTACAGTTCTGAATTGAAATGTCATTTAGGTAGAAGTACTATCGGCTATAAATAAAGTACTCAGTATGCAGAATTGCTCTTTTTTTACAGTATTATCCTATTATAGAATATTATATCATCCAGTTTTATTACTAACAAATACATGTAAGAGCATTTTAAAATAGTAGTTTGTTAATATGGAGCCAATTTCAGCTACTTAAAATACCGGGTAGATTGGTAATGCAGTACTGCATCATAACATATCAGCATATAATATGTATTTATATGTAAAATAACTTGGAATACGTGGAATATTTGTCTTTCAAATGTAGAAAAGTAGAAGTATAAAGAAGCAGAAATTAGAAATACTCATGCACGTGCAATTTAGTTGAAACAGTACTTGTGTATGGCTCTATGTTAGTAAATAAACTCTGTTACATTCCACCACTGGTAAAGTCCATCTGCAGTTGATGAGTATTCTTTTCCAAAATGTCAATAAATAACCTTTGTACATGTTACCTCAGCAGCCAGATAGCCGATTCTGACAGTATTTCAGCCACGCCCACCTCCTCCCCCAGGAACTGATAGGCTAAACTGTCAAAGTGCCAGTACATCAGTCTGCAAAGCAGCGGCTCCAGGAAAGCCACCTGTAGGTCAGAGGCATCAAACAGCAACTAGAAAATGCATTTCCTGCTGAAAATGCGTGTGCATGCTGTAAACTGTGAACACTTGTGGCTGAATTTAGCTGAAAATGCAGAAAAAGCTGAATATGTTATTATTTGAATGGTCTCTGTAATTGCTTTTAGCTACAAAAACCAAGTAAGTGTGTTGCTGAACTTAGCGGAGAAATGCAGAAAAGGGAAATTATTTGAATCAAAATTGTTACAGCTCAAATGCATTGTTGAAAACTTGAAATTGAAATGTTAAACTGGAAGAGTAGGAAAAATAGTGAAAAGCTTAATATTGAACAGAAAAGGTTTAAAAAAAAAGGTATAAACAACAACATGTATAGCCTCAATGTCCTGAAATAGCTGAATAATGTAATAGTTGAATGGTTTATCTGAAAGTAGGCTGAAGGAGTTAGATATTAAATGTAAGTAGCCTAGTAGTGAATGAATGTGTATTAAGAAGAGAAAATAAAGTAAAACGCTTTGAAAAGCATCAGAATATTTTAACTGCAAACTTTTGAACTAAAACCATACGTCACCAATAATGTATAAAATATGAGGAACATGTTGAAGTCAGTATGAAGTCTCCATCAAACAGAAAAGAATAGGCTGAGAGAGTCTGTTAAAGTCCAGTCTTTTTGTTTGTGTTTGAGGTGACTGCACATGCTGTTGCACAGCATTCACACTAATAAACCAGTTAACCGAGTAAGGCATAGGTGCTTGGCATAAGAATTAAATTACAGTAGTGAAAGTTACATTTTAACAGTGCTGAAACCGAAGTCATGATGACTTGGTAGGAAGGCAGGGAGACGTATAGGCATGATAATAGCGGCAAGTTATACCATGGCAACATCTCAAAACCCCTGAATATTTCTGTAGAATTATAGAGAAAGGGAAAGAAATGAGAGCTATAAAGAGGGATTCATTTGCTCACCAAAGTGTTGATAGTCCTCTCCTTGAAGTTCATTTTATCCGTGTTTTTTGTAAAGAAGCGTGGCACATATGAGGGAGGGGATGGGCAGCCTGCAGACTTCATATCCATGGAACATGGAATTCCTCTCAGCAAGTTTATTGTGGGGAGACCTGCAAGTGATGACTGGTGAGAAACTGTGCAGACATATGAGAGCACAAATAATATAAGGGTTGCAGAACTCACCCAATTTCCGAGCTATAAGAGAACCTGTGGGCACCATGGGGTCTGTTAGGACGGCATCGAAGTTCTGCAGAGAGACAGGGTCCGAAAAATAGACTACAGGGTCAAAAGCAATCTCTAAAACCTTAATAATTGTGTTTATTTAGTGCTTTCTCAGCAGATGTTTCGACTTATGATAATAAAATAACACATTTTAGGACCCTGAGACAGAATAAATGTAATGGAATTTGGCCACCTTCTACAGTATATGCACTATTAAACACTCACACACATAATACAAAATGTCATTTGTTAAAAGTACATACTTGTTACACTCATGCATGATTTCTACAGAAAAGGTCATATTTGTCTAACCCTCAGCCTAACCCTTATTTGATGCATTAAACCAGTAGTTCATGAACTTTGTTTGCCTATGACGCCACTAAAAACAGATTGTGGTTGTCAATATTTGTATTTTTTTGTTTTCAACCTCTGTACTTCCACTCACCTGCTGTGCCAGATGTGAGATGACATTTGCATTGAACAGTAGGCTCTCTGCTGTGGTGTGGATGAAGCCCGTAATTTTCTTGATTTGCGAAAATCGCGTCGCCACCTTCTCCGTGAAAGACTGTGCTGATTTTTTCATCACGTCTATGTGTGAAGACATGACATAATCAATGTGAGCCCGGTCATAAGGAACAGGATAGGTCAAGGTATCGTAGTGTTTTCCTGGACCCATCCGAATGCTGACCTCTGGTATCACCACGGTGACCCGGTGTCCACGGCGACCCATTTCTTGGGCTATGGCCTTTATACCCACCCAGTGACTCCCATCCATGGGTACCACCAGCAAATTGCCCAAGTAACCGGAAGAAGCATTGTCCCTTGCAGGCTTGTTGCTGGTCGCTGCAGCCTCTTCTGTCTTGAGCTTCTCTGGTATGGAGTTTTCTGCCACGGTCTTATCTACATCACCACTTACTTGCATATCCACGTTTAGAAGCAGGAACAAAAACACTGCAGATTTCCACATTGTTCTCTCTTCTGTGTCTGCAGCTCACTGAATCCAACAAGAAGGAAAAAGTGAGGCAATGTAAGTAAACAATGGACATAAACCCCCCCAACACTTTCTCTATGAATGCTTGTGTAAGCCTTCACCGCCCTCAGATTCTTGTGGAAATTCCTTTGTGACTGAGCCGAGTTGTGTGCGTTCAAAGTCCTCCCTTTATCAAGAGAGCCAATTGCAGTCTTAAACTTCTGTCAGTTTTAAGGGCATAAAGTTCTAAGAACCTGAAGTTTTGTAATACGACACCTTTTCACAGTTTGTCCCTCCTCTCCAGCTGCATGCCTGAAAATGTCCCACAACAACATAGACCGAACAGACTGATTTGAGGGGGACCGGTATGACTTGTTGTACACTGTTTTGTGCCTGTATGGTGAGAGAAGCAGACCCCTAGTGGAGAGTACCAAGGAGTTATTTTACCTGGGTGGCTTTTTTTAGACACCCCCTTGTTGTGATGGGTTTAGCAGGACCTTTATATACAGTTTATGGGTAGGACGGGTTGTTTTGCTGTGATTGGAAAGCTCAATGAGCCCTGCAACAATCCTGATTCCCAGCTTGGGCAGCATTAAAAAGTGCATACTTTTTTTTCTTGTCTTACAGTATCTAGTGTAGCTGCCATTACATATGATATGCATATGATTGGAACATACTATTTAGTCAACAAATTGGACCTTTAATTTTTTGTAATATAACCGCTGTACAAAGGATTGTGGGTCAGAATAGACAAAAAAACATTATTGCGACAAGATGTGAAGGGACATCCTTTTTTGACATTTGACATACGTGTTCGGGAATAATTTGCTTAGGTATTCAACCTTTGACACAGTTAATCATTTTCTCCTCTCACTCTCTCCTTTCTCATGGCATAGTTCTACAGCCTTGGGTATTGCTTCTATCTCTCTTAAGGAGGAGCAGCTTGGGCACATTGTTGTTGCCAGTCTATGACAGAGCACAAGCCTCCATGAGGTAGTTTACTGTTCAGGGACGTTGGTTCCCTGGCGCACATTCTTTTCTATGGACAAGAGCTCTAGTTAGATTCCGGGTCCATAATTGTTTAGTCTCACTGATAAATATGTTGATTATTACACTCCGAACTAGTTAAAACCTCGAACTACAGAAAGAGTTCTTCAGAATTGGTTTGGCAACCGCTGTGTCGACACACCACCTGTTTTGTAAATTCTCCGGCCGTAACTCCAAATGAACCACCAGTGTTTGCCATCAAAGCTCCAGCTCTCCTCGTGTCTCTCTGAGTCCTGACTCTCCATTGCTGTTTCCCCCACAATACGTACTATGTATAGGGACATGCTAAACCTTTTTTGCCATTCAAATTAGTATGGTAATAACTAAGGAATATTGGAAGGCACAAGGGGACAGTATAAAATAAGTGGTAAAGTAACTAAGTACATTTACTCAAGTACTGCTTAAGTAGAAGTATGAGAGACTTGTAATTATGATGGACATTTGTATGTCTATGTTTGTTCTGCCTAAACTATTCTCACTGGGTTATTAAACATTTTCACAACATAATTTACTGGAGTATTACATGTTTTGGTACATTGTACTTCTACTCCACTACAATTCAGAGGTAAATAGTGTACTTCTACTCCACAATATTTATCTAATATCTTTGCAGATTTGGATAATGAATGTGAAAAAATGTTTTACCAGCTTTGATAAAACTTTAATGCATCAATAATTATAATCAAAACATATCATATATATTATTCTGCATAATAAGTATGTTATTATATTATATGTTGATGCTAATACTTTTGTAGCCTACTATTACTTGAGTAACATTTTGAATGCAGGACTTTTACTTGTAACAGAGTATTCCTACACTCTGGTAGGCCTACTTCTACTTTTACTCAAGTACAAGATCTGAGTATTTCTACCACCTCTGTGAATATGAGTGGTGTAAATCTTCTCATAACACCTTTGTCAATAAAACAATCAAAAAAATCCACGTTATGGTCAGTCACCACGATATGGTTCATTCAGAGGGACATTCAAATAAAAGAAAGAGCTAGCTGCTAGATTATATGTTACAAAAGTAGCTATAAGGAAAGTTGGAAGTTAAATCTTTTTTCAACAAGCTGCACAATTGCTGTGCGAGTAATTAACGAAAGGAACGACCACAACAACAGGTAGGCTATGTTGTCCTACCACTAATAGTTCAATAACAAGTGCTGTCATAATTTATATTCCCATAGAGTTTTGTTTTCGGGTTAAAGATAACGACAAACCATTTACTGATATCACTAGATATGTTCTCTGCTGCACTGCCTGCATACACTGTAATACTCCAGTTCAATACCAGTTATATATCTACAGATTCATTTATATTAACTTTATCTCAGGCTGATAGTAAACTTTATATTAGAGGCAAAACGTGACTGTGTGCACAAAATGGACGGAGAGGATTCCATGGTTACCATGGGTTGACGCAGGACTAGCATTAATATCGGATCAATATTTAAACCATAACAACCTGAAAACTACCTGAAGACGGTCTCCACTTTCACTCGACGTTTCTTCCAAAGTATCGCTTCTACTCAAGTATTTTGACATCCCGACAAGAGTCAGAGACCGCCTGATAGTTGGTACACAGAGAAAACCCACTTTCAGTATGGAAAATGTAAGATTTCATTACGTTCATGTCCCCGTTGTTTCCAATGTGATTTCCCGTCGACATTTTCAGAAACCTCATAGTTTACTGATGTTTAACAAATAATTTAGGCTCCTGTAACGATAAGTACAATTACACAAATTTGATATTACATTAAGATCATGTCGGCTATGCCACTGAAACGATTCAATTAATGAATCTATGCAGTACGAAATACCAAAAAAACACATTAATTAATCTAAACAAGACTATATGAACATAATAACACATACATGTTATGTATCTAATACAAATCATTTATATTAACTTTGTAGGCTATATCACCCAGCTCCAAGCTGAAATACTTTAATATTGTGACTTTTAATGTAGCTAATTAAAGTAACTGAAGTAGCCTATTTTAACGTAGCATTTTTTTCATTAGACGGAAATATGCTTAATATATATTATACACACGTCACATATGTGTCACTAAAGCACAATATTAACTGACATGATGGCCTAAAGGTGGGTCTTGTTTTGTCACCGGACCTGTCTCGTCTTGATGAGGTTTTCAGACTTTGATTACATGTTTCATATTCCTTCATTTATGTTTTTTATCTAACAACCACATCAGGTTTTGGCCAGGTAATCTTGCAGCACATAAAACTAGCAATAACACATTTGATTTTCCTATTACGACATTACAAAATATTAGAAAAAGGTAAATCCTGCAGGTACTTGTAAAGCCTCATCCTAACATGAGTGTGTGTTGTTGCAGGGTCGAGTGCCCGTCCTCCCGCAGGAGAACCAGACAGAAAGGAGAGTCTCTGCCCGCCAGAGGAGGCATGCGGTCTGCAGACAGTGTCCCTGCTGCATGGACGACCAGGTGAAACATCTGATCCTCAACTCTGTTCCTTGAAATTGTACACGGTTTAATCTTCAAGAACTGAAGTAATGTTTTCTCAATTATAAAAGTATTTTGTTAAGTAAGAAGTTTGCTAGAGTCTGACATCCTCTGACCTTCTCCAGGTGCCACATACAAAGCGCCGGCGCCCTGCTGCTTCTGCTGACCTGCCACCTGTCTCTAATGTGGCCCCCAGCCCCCGGACCTCCCCTGCTCCCCTGCACCTCGAAGACCCTATCAGGATCCACAACCGCTCAGTCGAGGAGTACTAGCTCATCTACCATAAAGTTGTGGATAACATGCTGAGGTATGTTGTGTCCCAAATGAGTCAGTTCATTTACAGAGTTTACACTCTCTTAGAAATCTATCTCTCTATTTTCCTTCATCATAAATATTTATTTTGTGTTTCTCCTCTCAGGTTCCCGGATGGTCTCCTGCGTCCATATAGTTTGGGTCTGGGTCGTCGTATCAAGCAGAAGCTGTGGGAGCGACTGGACCGTCCGATGTTCACAGAGACAGTGGATGAAGACGGTCTGGTCCATGTGGACGTGTCCTACGGTGCTGGAGTCCAGCCTCCGCTCTACAACGTGGATGTTTCTGGTGAACCAGAGCCCGAATATCCACCAGCAAAAAGGGCAAAGCACTAAGACACACTCTCATAAGCTGACATGTCTAAATAATACTGTGCTTTAAGTTTAGTTGTTTTAAGTTTCATTTTTAGTAGTTTTAAGTATGGCAGTTAAGTTTAAGTTTATTAAGTGTAGAGATAAGTTTTTAGTGCCAAGCATAAGTATTAAGTGTTAAGTGTTAAGTCTTTAGTTTTAAGTATTTATTAATAAGTATAGGTATAACGTGTTAAGAGTAAGTGTTTAGTTTAAGTTTTTAGTTTAAGTATTTTGTTTGAAGTAGTCAGTATTAAGTGTACGTTTTTACTGCTAAGTATAAGTATTAAGTGTTTGGTTTAAGTATTTAGTAATAAGTTTAAGTATTTAGTAGTAAGTATAAGTATTTAGTGTTAAGAGTAAGTATTTAGTAGTAAGTATAAGTATTTAGTGTTTAGTTTAAGTATTTATTAATAAGTTTAAGTATTTAGTGTTAAGAATAAGTATTTAGTGTTAAAAGTTAGTATTTAGTTGAGATAAGTTTACTTTCATTGATCTTAATGTATCTCACCACTGATGAATTGTCTTCCTCTGAATCAGTTCCTGCTCCTCTGTTAACAGTCTTCTTAATCCAGCTTCAGCCTCAACAGCAACAGTTATCACCTGCCAGACCACCTGCTCCACCCTCCAGCCTCCACCTGTTACTTCTACCTTCCACCTCAGACAACACATCAGCCTTGAGCTGCAGCCTGTGAGATGAAAAACTCCTCTCCACCTCCACCCTCTGTCAGCAACCTGCAGCCATCTCCTCCAACTGCACATTCTGTTGAATAGCTGATGGCTAAACCTCCATCTACAGCCTCTATAAGGAAACCTGCACAGATGTTATCCTACTGCCATGTGGAGACCTGAGTGGAACAGCAAGGACCAGAGAAACACACGCAGATATAGTCCTTCAGTTAATATTCAAAAATATTTCTGTGTTATTAAAGCTGGCTCTCTGTTTACATTCTGTTCACTTGTTCTTCTTCTCACAGGTGTTTCCACATGTGGTGTGAAAGACTGAGCTCACACTCCTCAACATGAACCTGACT